TGGAAGCAGAATTTCCCTGAAGGAGTAATCCCAACGGAGAAATAAAGCTGAGTCTAAGTCTAAGTGGCCATCTGAATGTAGGACTGTTGATGATTTCAATGGTCCTTTATAACTTTCATCCCCAAGTTTACCCTTTATTTTCACAAGGCTTTTGTTTTAAAAATACAAATCCAATAACCTTCCTTTAAGTATAAAGATGGATTTTTTTAATGCTGTTTCTAGCTGGATAAAAATGTCTCACCTTCATTGCATAAGGAAGAATGAGCCAAACTTGTGGAGTTCTACAATCCTTGGCTGATTCCTGCTTGAGGCGTCTTAATAAAATGGATTCTCTGGTGTGTTTTTAAAACTAAAATGTCATGAAAGTATCAAAAGCTTGAGAAAGCTCAGACATCATTAACTGATCTCTGAATAATCATTTGAAAGGCCTACAGTAGTGATCCTAATGCATGTAAACATCAGTCTGAAGAATGTCATTTAAATATTTATTTATTCATTTTCTGACATTTAACTTTTAATAATTTTGGTAATCATTGCTGACCTAAAATGTGGAACTTAATCCCTTACAGGAAGAAGAAAAGGCCAAGTCTTTTTTTCACCTTATGTAAATATGTTTTCAGCTGTGCACTGAAGGACTCGACTTTCCACAAAATGCTGTTTATGTCTTCCAGTTAAAACACTCTTAAAAAAAAAAATTAAATTCCAACATAAGGCAACGTGAGGGAAATAAGGGGCATTGTGACAGCAGCTCTACCTTCATTGAAAATAACTCCCATTCTAAATCTCTGTCTAGCAATAAAAACATCATTTATCTTGTTTAAGCCAGAGGATTATTCTGTGAGTTCTACGTTTTCTTAGCTAATACAGACGTAACCGTCCATGCATTGAAAAACTCCTTTACCTCGGCCAACTTAGCAGTCCACAAGGCCATTCGCTCTACTGTTCACCTTGTATTGTCATGGCTCCATGTTGGTGCAATAATGATGAGAGACAAGCTTGTTTTTTACCCAACTGCCATTGTAGATCAATGATGAGAACAACTTCAGAGACCCATCAGTGAAGTCAGAGACAGAAAAGGCCAAGGAATGACAAAACGAGCACGGAGAAGTGCCTCAGCAATGCTAACCTTTACTCAGCCTCCCCCAAATTGACAAAAAGAAGAAGAGAGAAAAGAGCAAAATGTTCCATCTGGGCAAGTAACCTTTTCTCCAGCCACCAATCAGGTGGCTCAGAGTGATGCGTGCGGCGGGTATTTACTGTTTAAGTGGCCTCACAAAGGTGAGTTATAAGTGTATGTTTGCAATTGTATGCATGTTTCCCCAGGAGCAGAAGGACGGGTGTGTTCGTTCGCGACCATATGTGTGTCGCTACCTTTTAGGTTTTAGTCGTGTGTGTCTGTATCTGCATGTGCAGAGCTGAGATAGTGCAAGAGGCAGGCTGACATTTCCAGCCAGTCTGTTTATGACTGGAGGCGACGGGCAGCCGTGCAGCGACATCACCTCCTGGGTGGCCAGGCCCTCATTATGGTGGAAACACTGACAGAAAGAAAGGAAGACTTGAGCATGACTGCAGAAAAGAATTTCATGTTAACTGGCCATATTTTGCTCTGTGGCTTTGGGCAACATTCTTCCTCACTTGGATCTT